TAGATTACTCAAGATACCGTTCCTCAGCACTTCACACACCCACGCGCACACTGCACACTCTCAGTGAAATCATTATAAGGTAGGCCTAAATGTGACCATGAGCGGGTTTACTGTCTGGCAAGCGGGCTGAAATTACAGAGGTAGGCTATGTTTAATAAATAACGTTTTCAAATGTTTAAATGAATAAATAATTATAATTTCAACAGCTAATTCTACTTGCATGTCTTCTTTTGATTTGTTATTTTTGTTTTATTTTTTATGAAGCGTGTAGAGCTGCATGTGTTTTATGTACCCGATGATCAGTTTGATCGGAGGTTGAATAAAGTATCAGCTGAAGCTGTGGACACTTTCATCTCAGCTGGATTTATCAGGTTATTTGCTGAAGTTAAATGGTCTTGACCACAAATAAACTTAATATAATAAACATAAAATGCAACCTACAAAATGACCAAATCATTGTTTTAACCAGAACATTGCAAGAAAATAATATAAATCGTGTAACAACTTGCCATGACAGCCTATTTATGAAAAATGCTCTTGTCCTTGAAAACAGTTCAGCTTCTTACCATCATCATATAGTTGATTCTTGTGTAGAATCTGGACTGTATGTAAAGAGATACTAAAAATTCTACCTCCATAGCCTTCCTCAGTTTATTCATATATGAGTCTGTCTGATCTCATTGTTTTTTGTTTCAGAGTCAATTCAGATGTGAGTCTGTCTGATCTCTGATCTGACCTTGGAACATTTCTTGGGCTGGACAAGGATCGCAGATAGATATGTTTTTTAAAAATGTGTTGGCAGAAGTTTGGCTCTCGTGAGTAGCCTAGAATAATAAACAAGTTTTAATTTAGATTAATGAAAGTAAACTAAACAAATATAAGTGTACAACCAAAGGTTAAAGTTGTTTGCATTAGACTAAATCAAGCACATAGTGTGATGGTGATAAAGAGTATAATTAAAAGTTTGATTAGACACAAAACATATGGTTCATTTTCAATACAGACAATCTACAATTGCAAATTTTGAGATGATTACCCTTGAGTAGCACAGAAAAATGTAAAGCTAAAATAACACTTTTTCCATTTGATCCCAGGTTAAATTCAGACAAGAGGGAGAACTGACAGTAAAATCCTTCACTCCACCATTTGTAGTTTTTTGTGAAATAAAGGCGATCTAAGTTTAGTTTTAATTGCTGTAGTCAGCTGATTTATGCTTCTTATGATTTATTGTTTATGCCTTGTTTCCTTGACCCCATTAGGCTCCTTTTCCTGAGCTTTACCTTTTACCCGTGGGAGAGAATGACAGTAGCTTTGCTCTAGCTCTCTGACCCCTGATACTTTAATTAGCAACACTAATTTGCCCAGACCAACATGTGCGCCTGGCAAGATAAAAGAGCCCATTAAATTCCTCTCAATCAATAAAGGACTTCAGCAGTCTGTCCTAATGCAGGATGCAGAGGAGGATGAGAGTGATGAAGACACAGGATCCACTGACACTCCTCATCTAACATACAGTTCGCAAGATCAGATGGAGCCCGTACACAAACGGTCCATTATGAAATGCTAAGAACATAAGCACAGATGCACTCAACTACACCCAGCTCCAGCTGTGCGCAAGTTACAACTTAGCTTTCACGTAAAGGGGCACTAAATTACACCTTACGTACTGCTAACGATTTTTGCGTTGCACCGTTAAACTTAGTTGAAACATAATTCTGCATACAAACTAAATATTTATGGAAGCTTTAAAATGGGAGTAATGGTTAGAATAAAATAGTCGATTGATTGAATTGCATCAGTAAGCTCGTTTTACCTGATAAGACTTCAATCTGATAATATTGACATTTATGACATTTACGAACATTATGTGAATAAATTACTTTGTTAGTGGCTCTTCAACACAAACCCGGCTTAAACAGTGCACCTCTGTGTGCATAGGTAAGTGTTGTGCATGTCAAATAATATTAGAATAAATAAATGTAATTTCTTATGTTTTTCTTTTGTATCAGTATTAATTTATAGATCATTATTACTTTCAAATACAATTATTGAATGTTGTTTACATATAAAATACCTATTGTTATTCATGATAAAGTAATATTGTATTACAATGGAAACACATTTTACCGACTTTAACTAAAATTCAATAACTTCGGCTCACACATTTAAAGGCTGCATTGGATCATTGAGGGTAAATGTTGTGTCCACAAGTGACGCAGTAGAGACGAAAATGTGGGATAAAGTCGTTATTTTTGTTTTCTTTGCACAAAAAAGTATTTTCGTAGCTTCATAACTTTACAGTTGAACCACTGGGGCCCGTTCTTCGTACGTCGCTTATTATATCCGAGATGAAATGTCACATCCAAGATGCCTGTTTACATGAAATAAGCTGCTCCCGAGCAGGTTTAAGCTTACGGACCTGTTGCTATCACAGCAACTCCGGGATGAGCTTCGAAGAACCAAACAATCCAAGATCAAGCCAAATCGTCAAGAATCAAATCCAGCTAACTGAGTTAGCGACGTACGAAGAACGGCCCCCAATGTCACACGGACTACTTTGTCGATACTATATCTGTGTGGCAGCAGCAATATACAGTAAATAAATCAGTAAATCCACTGCTCTGTTGTCTCCTCTGAGGCTGGGACTCTAGTGTTCTGTGCTCGTCTGTGCAGCCAAAGACAGAACAGTTGGCGTGTTTTGCTCAAACTTTCGCCATGGCATTAGAGCTGGTACACCGTTGTCGCGTGCAAAATCAAAATGATGGCGCCTTGAGTGGAAGTTTACGGATTAAGGGGCGGTAATATTATAATGAGATCCCTTTGCCACTTCACCAAGGGAGCGAAATCTGACGGTCCCTTTTTTTCAGACGCTTGCAGAAAAAAAATCAAAATGATGGTGCCATGGGTGGAAACGTGCAGATTAAGGGGCGGGGCATTATATATTATAATGAGATCCCTTTGCCACGTCACTAGGGCAGCGAAATCAGATGCGCTCGTTTTCTCAGACGCTTGCAGAAAAAGGCTTACCAAAACAAAGTTACTGGGTTAATCTTTTTCACGTTTCCTTGGTTGGTAGATGCACCGGGGACCTGATTATAGCACTTAAAACCAGGAAAAGTCAGATTTTCATGATATGTCACCTTTACAGTCATAGCCACTTTTGTAAAGGGCTCAATAGAAGAAAAAAGAAAAGTAGGGTATAATAAATATCATTGTACAGCAGTTGTTCTGATTTTGATTGGCCAGTTCCAAAGCCGCACTTTAGAAATTCTATCAGCCAGGGGTGCGTTTCCCAAAAGCAACTATGTTCGCAAGTTCCGTCATTACCAATAGAGTTCAATGAAACTAACGACCATAGTTAGCTAACGATGCTTTTGGGGAAACACACCCCAGGTCAATATTCATGATATTCATTCATGATATAAAAATCTGTTATTTCTAATTTCTAACTCTATGGCTACAATAAGATGACAAAACTAAGAAATGATAGTACTGATAATGTGATCTCTAATTACAGATCAACTAGCAAAGAGATCTAAAATACTGAATACTAAAATATTGAAATAACTTTCACCGCCCCCATTTTTAAACGATATGATGAAGCCCACATAAAAGATCTTTCTTGCCAATGAAAATTGGAACATTACCCAAAACCAAAAGCTAATTTAAATGAGCACTGTGGCGTTCCTATGACAACATGTAATATCACTAATGGGAATATAAAACCAGCAGTGGGAACTAATCTGAACAGATATCATTTGAGGTACACAGCAGTGCTTCTTACCACGGTGGAAATGAACAGAAGAATATAAAGAATTTAGATGTTGCCGACTAAACAGAACTGAAACAGCTGTTATTAAATCTCACAAATGTTGGTGTTGATGTTCAGATACAAATTCAAGATTAATAAAAACAATCATTTGTAACACTTTATTTTACAGTGTCCTTATTACACATTAACACTAACCTCTAGCGTTCTCTGTTCTTTTTCTATTCTATCTACTTTTTTTCTCTTTATTTAATATACAAAGAATTATTATACACTTACATATTGTTGCTCTTTTGTTGGTTTGTTTGCTTCCGTTGTCCTCTTTTGTAAGTCGCTTTGGATGAAAGCATCTGCTAAATGACTAAGTGTAAATGTAGTAACATCAAGTAAATTATGCATACTAAGCAAGTAATCCTAAACCTAACCCTATACCTAGAGTATATACATGTTAATTAATATTACTCAGTACTTATTGTGTAATTACACTGTAACAGGGACACCTTAAAATAAAGTGTAACCTAATCCTTCAATAAATGCCTTATGAGATATAGTTGCATCTGTCTGCAGAAAAAAATAAAATTGGGGGACATCACTTTTTGGCATAGATCAGCACGATTTAGGAGGTGTCCAAAATTTCAGATAAGAGTTCTGGTTTCCGTGGTCAATCTGGTGCAACTTGAACGTGTTGCTTCAAGATGTTTGACTCAACAGTTAACAGATAAAGTCAAACTGACACACAAGAGACAACAATAGCACTGAACTGATGTAAGGAAGGACAGAAAACTACGTGATTTCATAACGACTCAAGCTACAGTATGACTTCAGCAATCAGACTCAAACAGATGAAAACATTTAAATGTACTAAACTGCTCAATGTTCCAGCATTTATTTTCTGCTAAGGAAACAAAAAGTTCTATCTAAAACACTCTCACATTTTAAGTTTTAACGTGATCTTGATGTGCAAAGTATTTGCGCATGTTGCGCATGAACTATGACCATCTAGTCATGCAGTCTATTCATGTAAACACATTGCATTATACTGCAAACGTACATACCTGTAAAATCTTCTACAGTCTTCTGAAGCTGTTAAAATAATCCTAACAGTTGTGTTAAGGAATAGCTCACCCAAAAATAAAATGCTTGTTAAAGTCATTTCATATGACTTTCATTCGAACATGGAATGCAAAATTGACGTTCCCCATTCACTGACATGAGGATGATTAAATAATGACAGAATTCTCATTTTTTGGGTAAACTAATCTTTAATCTAAAGCACATTTAAGGACAATAGCAGAACATAACAGATGAATTAATTCTGTAACAAATCTGTTGATATTGGTACACTGATATCAGCATTTCCTTCAAAAATCAATACAATCTCCATGTTTTAATGTTTGCAAGTGCAAATCCTATATCACTTTTGATTTATAGGTCTCAAAATTAGGAAATCCCAATTCTCATATGCCCAAACTAAGCATTACCAAGCTTAGCAAATAAATAATCCAGTGCATGACCAATCTAATGAATTGTACTATATATATATATATAGAACAGATTGCATGGCATATGGTTTAACAAGAATCTTTCGAATTCCAAATGTTGGAATCCCACTTCAAACAAAAATTAAATGAAGTAAATAAATGTAGATAACTACAGTATGCTGAGTATAACAGTCTCGGAATAGAAGTAATAATTGACCAACAGTAACAGATGGACACATAGCAGGAGAGCTGCCAAACACCCCAAAATACAGCTTCAGGAGACCTTTCTAAGACGAAAATGCACATTATGAGCTTCACAACCCTCAGGCTGAAAACCAACCAAATGTTAAGCTGTTTAAATAGTTTGCTCAAAACCTCTCGTTTGTGTTTTTGAAGGTTGTACCGTGCATTCATGAAATACAAAACATAATATATATTTTTTTAAAACATGGCCTTGGCAGCAAAAAAAGATGGTTGGTTATATCTTGGGTTTGTCTTTGTTTAGTAGGAAAGTGGCCCAGGTTTGCCACCCTCTGCTTGGTTGTAGGAGCTGGCAGAGCTGCCAGACTGGTCCTGGTGGTCAATGGACTGGTAGGCATCTCTGTTTCGAGTTATCCTTGGAAAACCTGAAATTAAAAGATAAAAAACTCTGAACCTTTGCATACTCCACAGCAATTTCAGTTTGCTTTGTTAAAATATATTGTGACTGTAAAATACATCATAATTACACTTAAGAAATTGCATTCTAATTTAAAAAAAGACTCAGTAATGTTCCCCAGCTGCACAAATGGTACATTGCAACACAATCTAATGGCAGTTTGTAACTGTTTTACGTTTTTGCGAATTGGTGGCTAATTCGTATGAATACAATCTCATTCCTTCATTTTTGTACGTTCCATTGACGGTTATGCTTAGAGGGTTAATTGTGGGGTTACACTTTATTTCGATAGTCCACTTTAGACATTCTACTAACTATATGTAACTTTGTAACTACATGTCAACTACATGTCAACTAATTCTCATTAATTTGCAACTACATGTCTACTAACTCTCAGAGTAGACTGTTAGGGTAGGTTTAGGGTTAGTAGAATAAGTTGACAAAGAAGGTGTTAGAAGATATTAAGCAGACAGTCTACTAATACTCTACTAACTGCTAGTTGACATGTAGTTGCAAAGTTACTTACTGTTAATAGAATGTCTAAAGTGGACTATCGAAATAAAGTGTTACCAATTGTGGACCTTCATGTCTTCATTTTTTTCTAAAAATATTACTTTTTAGTATAATTCATTTAATATGAATTCATGTTTTTCCATGAGATTGGGTTAAATATTCAGGAATAAGGTAACGTGAATTAAACACACTTATTGCTAAACAATAAAAATACAGATTGTTTGATCACACCGTATAATTGCTGGACATCTGCAACATATGCCATTTACTCAGGTAGCGCTGGAGCAATATGCTAGCCTAAACTTCTTTATTCAGCCTGAAGAAATACCAATGAAGAGACGGTTTCACTGCATTGTGAGCAATTCAGGCACAGAGGTAAATGTTCTCAATTACATTATAGGCCCAATATCTCAGGCATGAGAAAGTGCTTTGTAAAAACAAAACAGCATTCAAGAAAAAATATCAATTTGCTATTGCTTCCATTCATTAAAACACGACTTGAGAAATCCAATGTCAATAAATCATTTAAAATAACACAATTCCCTTTTATTGCACAATAAAAACCCAAGCAAATATTGACTGCTAAGACAGTGTAGTAAATCAGCACTTCTGTGACCATTCAGGCAGAAAATACCACATACAGCTAGAAAATAAAGCCTCGTGTAACACGTGGTGTGGTTCTTAATAATGTTCTTGGAAGGTTTCAACACAGAGACCCACACCCAAACTCACAACCAACCCATTTCCCCTTTAATTTCCCCTTTAACACTTTATAATATCTTACATTAACAAACAATATTATGGTCAACATAAATAAGTTTTAACCTAGTTTCTCAATCAAAGGTGCACTCTGTTTATTTATTTATTCTTTTATCCCATAAAATTGTTTTACATATTAAAAAAACATGTATTTTTATATTGTCATCCTTGCTTTTTTTGATAGTTATTGTGCTCAGTAGAGACAACTGAACAAACAATTTTAAGACTATGTGACAGGTTGCTGTAAAATTCTACTTCAAAAAAAAGTTTCGGAACAATTTAACCAAATTTGGAAATATACGAAATATTTTATCCATCTGTCTTCCACACCACTTGTCCTATGTCGAGTTGCGGGGATGCATGGAGCCTAGCGTCCCAGACCATATATAGGCAAGGAAATTAAAATCATTTGGTGCACAGCTAGCCGTGCATTATCCTGCTTATACCATGGTCATTTTTCCAGACAATGAAGTTGTGAGTTTAATTACTTAAACAGTGATTTTACCTCCTCGTTGCTGAAGAATATAATGTAGCGATTCAGCATCTAAGCTATTTTATTAATAAAAGTTGTGGGGCAGCATTAACAACACGTTTCTGTGCATTGTCCTCTTGTATTACTGAAACTATTTTCCTGTTGACACTGTAAAGCTGCTTTGACACACTCAAAATTGTATAAAGCGCTATATACATAAAGGTGACTTGACCTGACGACTTCTGTGCTCTTGAATATTTTTTGTGTGCGTAGCGCGATCTTTCTTTCTTTCTCTCTCTCCCTCTCTCTCTGTGTGTGTTTGTGTGTGTCAATGAAAGCAGTGCATATATTTTAGAACGGCGATTAAACTGACTTACCTGTGCATTAAACGGTTTTATTGCATACCTGCCAGCTAATCTAGAATCAGAATCTAGTATTCAGACAGACCATGGTACAGCATTCAAATTATATAATATAATATTATTATCCATGGTGGTCCATGCTTTTGTAACAACTCGTTAAGACTATTGTAATTCACAGTGTTTCTCAGTCTTCCCTCTCTCGTCTAAAGCTAGTGCAAAATGCAGCTGTGACATATCTATTCTCTCTAGCTTTCAATACCCCTTGATCATCGGTTTAATTGTTGTTTTGTTATTGTTGTGTTTTAAATACGATAGTCTTGTTTTATTCATCTTTTTAGTTTTTATTCTATTCTGTACAGCACTTTGGTCAACTTCGGTTAAATGTGCTTTAGAAATAAATATTGTATTGTAATATTATTATAAACCTATAAATATATTTATACACTCTCTGTAGTAAATTCTGAGCATTGTGTATTAAAATTTTGACAGAGACTTCTAACAGAACTGATTATTGATTATTGATTAGATGATTATTCTTCTGAAACCACATGTAAACACACACACAAACACACACACAGAGTAAACAAATGTAGCTATATACATTATTATAACATCAAGCAAAAAGAAATGTACAAAGAATGAAGAAAAAAAAACACACAAGACATTAAAATGCAAGAAATAATATGAAGTGCTAAAAAACATAAATACCAAGACATAATGTGAAGAAGAGCAAGAAAATAAGTCAACATGAAATACACCACAGCAGCTCAGAGATGACAACTCCCTGTTTTAGAGGAAGCTAAACAGGACTGCAGGAGGAAAAGGAGGGAACGTTCAGTAGCGACGGCTGAGCAGTGTGCTATCAGCACTGTCTGTGGTGCAGCGACTGTCCACGGATGTTTCCAGGTCTGAGAGACAGATACAGAAGACAGCGAGACAGCAAGCAGGGCAGTGAATGAAGACGGGAAGTCACAGAAAGAGCATGAAGGACAGGAACAAACACTATGATGATAGATGAATAACGAACACACAAAACAGGCCTGAATCTAGAATTAAAAATGTGTCTTGAGAAAAATATCATTAGTGGTTAAAGTAAAACAATCATGAAGAAAATTATTAACAGTCAGTCAGTATAAACCCCAATGGATTTTGAATCCTGAAATCTAGAGTTTCTGCAAGACTCACGATTGACAGTACACTGTTCTAATTATTGTACAGTATGGATACTTACCAGCTGAATAAATGTAGATGAAATACTGATTTGAGTTTAAATTATTTGATTATGTTAGTGTGAAGTGAATCAATGACCTTCAGAATTTCACAGGATATATATATATTAGGGCTGGGCAAGTTAACGTGTTATCTCATCTCTCAGATATAAAGATTTCATCTTACGTTTTGATCATATAAATATCAGCAACTGATATTTATATCAAATTTCATGTTTTTGCTCAGTTTGGGCCTCTGAATAAAACTGAGGTGTTCATATTTTTCTATCATACTGTATGATACTCAACAAAAAACATTATTTTTGTGCGACATATGTTGCGTTTTGTGCGACATATGACATTTTTTAGGGTTTTTTTTCTGACTCATTTCATACGTCATACTTTACAGCAGTGTTTCCCAACCTTTCTTTAGTCGCGGCACCCTTTGGAAATTTTAACAAATTTGTGGCACCCCACAAAATTAATTTAGTCACAATATTTGAATTTCTAACTTCGATATGATAATTTGAGAAGTATAGATATTCGGTACAACAGGGAAGAACTGCAGAATATAATGTCATACAGATATTTTTAATATTATAAAAAAAAAATTGTC